GTGTGCTTCGAATCGGTGTTTAGCAGGTTTTCAAGCACAAACTGATCGGTTTAAACAGGATAACATCCCTAATAATATCCCTCTGCTTCTTATGACGATATTACTGTATTTAAAGTAAAGATGCTCGTTATCGAATTGAAAGATTTATCAATTGCGATAGATATGTGATGGAAATACCTATCTGCATCATAATGCTATGCGATCTTTACTATTATGTGGATCTTTTATTGATATAATGAAGGTTCTTGGCTACGCAAAATTACAGATATATATATATATATATGATTAGTTTAGCAATTTTTAATCTATTTATAATTTTAAAATTTTTGAGGAATAAAAGATTCACATGATGTTATCAGTAATATAACGATAACTCAGAATTCAATCCGGTAATTTTTGGATGATTGATTCCTTAAAAGAACATGTTCTTGTACGTACAAAATTTCGCCTCAACATTGTCCTCGTGCTATTCTTCATACTGCATACATATAGAATATTCTTAACGTTAAATGTCGTTATTTTTCGATTTTTTTGAATTGCCATGTTTTATGTTACACTGAAATTTTCTAAACATTAAAAAAAGTGTTTCACATGTATAAAAAAGAAATAAACTTTACTATAATTAATTACAAGTATAATCTTGTAAGCAAATGATGCTTAACCAGATTATCATGATTTTTGGGTTAGGAAAAAGAGAACAAATCATTCTGCAAAAATCCCTTTATTTATACTTTTCCACGTTTGTAAATCTCGAATTTTTAATTCGAATAATGGTAATTTAATAATTTTTAATTCGGAATTAAAGGTCTGTGCACTTAACAAAATAAGTATTCTGAATTATAATAAATCCAGTAAACCAAATTTATAATTTGGCAAAGGAACTCCGAAGTCGAATTTCAATTTCCGAATTGTTAAAAAATAATGTTTGTCAAATCAGAGACATGCATGATTTTGATTGATCAACAAGACCAATAGAGCTTCAAAATTCATGCACGCGCGAACTACGTGCATAATAATAGATTTCTTATCTTGATATGTTTAATTATGTAATCAAAATGAGATAGCGGCATCTGATTTTCCGTCCAAAGATATCTATAAAATTTAACTCGTGAATGAAAATCTTTTTGTAACTTGTCGACAAACTTTTCTTGCACATCATATTGCTTCAAACTATAGATGGTTTGTAAACATTTTATGTTGTGTAAAATGCCAAATTGCTATATTCGATTCTTATGCTTCATTAAAATCTTGAAATTCTTTGAAAATATATTAGTCGATCGTTTCTTATTATGTAACTCAAGGGTAATTTTCTTTTTCTTTCAATATCGATTCCATAGTAAGGAGAAAACAGTATTCTGGCCAGTGCATTCTCCACATTTTCTTGGTCTGATTTTTTAAGGGTGAAATGAATATCGTTACATATCGCACGCAAATTGCGTGCATGAATATCTGATATGTAATGTACTGTATCTCTATGAATCGTTTTCTGGGGAAATTGACAATGATCACCTTCAGAATTGACACCTCTGATCCTAGAAATCAACGAATTGTTTTCTCAGATCAATTCGCATGTCTGTGTTATCTGAACATCTCATGATTATGATTTTTAGATATGCGATAAATGTACGTATATATCGATGCCTTTAAAAATTAAATTAGGTATCTGCGTTCTGCATGTTTTAAACTAGTTATTTCGGCATTTATACTAAAATCGAAGAATAAATCAGATTTATTTGGTGTAATATTGTGGCTTGCATACTAAAAATTATTACTCAGTTCGAACGAAAAAAACACGTTTCCTTCTTTAGCCTTCACATTCGTTGCTCGTTCATTGTTAATCTGTAGCCAGTGGAATCAATAATCAAACACACAAGCTCGTAATTCTGGATTGGATTCATAATTAGTTACGCGTTTTTATTGGGAATAGTTTCTGTTCATGTGATTGTCGATTGTCGTTATAAGATATAAATGTTACAAATGGCTGGAACTGGTTTTTTGTTAATTTTATATATTCTCATTCTCATCATTCCTCTCTCTCTCTTTTTTCCCTAAACTTTGCTTCGAAAACTTTAAGCAAGGTAATGAATGCCCACGTTTTCATAATTTTGTTACGGTCACATTGACACGTTTTAATGGTTCGCATTCAGCTGAGATACCATTCTTCGAACTTCGAGCTTTGTTTTTTCGTGACAGTATTCATATTTTAGAACAATGATAGATATTACATTATATTAATTTGTAATATACCTTACATAAGTTTTTTTTAATATGTAAAAGTTTTTCCATTATGGATTTAAGACTTTTTCAATCCCATTTTTCCGTAGTCTCAGCCAATGCCTTAAAATTATACCGCATATATTATTACATATTGTTCATGTGATACGATGTAAAAATGACATCATCATTTATGCAAAATATCACGACAAAAAATTTCACATGCTAATATAATATAAACTGGAAATTTTTTCAGGTCACTCGCGCGCTGCTACGCAGCACATGGGGTGACATTAACTTCGATGAAAAAAACATCTTATTTTTCATCGTATGACCAATATCTTATAAATAGTTTTCTTTCATAAGCATGAAATCCTTCTGCTCAATATTAATCTCATGTGAAATTTTTTTTTTTTTGTTCTATACTAGCATCCCACAAGCATTGATCGAATAATGAGTTTTAACAACGCATCATGGATTACGGCTTGCCTGTCCGCTATGGCATGCACTTTGGGCTTTGTCCCTTGGAATTATAAACATTCCATCGTAACAAGAGTTGGTTATGCTGTATGTATTTATACTATTATACTGTATTCTCTGCGATTTCCACCTTTTCTGGTATACTTATTCCCATCACATTTTCTGAAGATCATCTTTTTCATTAATTCGACGGTTAGTTTCACGTGTTTAAACAAGCTGTTAAATATTGCAATATTATTGGTCAGATATAAATCATCCTTTTTTTTTAAATACAGCTCGCATGGTTAATGATGTCCCATTGGGCTCTCAAAAAATTAGATAAAGATGCATATCATTATTTAAAGATGAATTGCCCAGAGGGTGATTGTTATGGGGTGCTCGCGGTATATATATATTTAATGTTATTTTCTCGTTTTTTTTTTTTTTACATATAAATTGTACAATCTATAATTTTTTCATAATAGGTCCATCGAATTTGTTTCTCCCTTTCACTTTTTCATTTCATTTTGGGACGTTTGGTTCAAGGTGTTAAGGATAATCGCAATAAATGGGCTGCTGTTCATTATGGGTAATTATTTGCTATATGCTTTCATTCTCTTGACGAATACCTTATTAATTATTAATCTTTTTATTTTATAAGTTGGTGGGGATCAAAAATCTTATTATGGATATTTCTCCTTGTATCTTCTTTCTTTTTACCAAATGAACTATTCATACTTTGGGGCAGTCTGGTTTCCGTAATTGGCGCTGTTTGTTTCATCTTATTTAGTTTGATTCTTTTGGTTAATTTTGCACATACATGGAGTGAAAATTGTGCCGAAAAGATTGAATCATCTGAAAGTAATAAATGGAAATATCTTCAGTTCTGTTCGACCTTCATAATGTTTGTTGGCGCGTTCATCTTTACCGGCATTATGCTAGAATATTTTGCAGGTTCTGGCTGTCATTCAAACCAGTTTATCATAATATGCAACATTGTCCTATCTTTTATTGCAACCCTTCTTTCTATTCATCCGGCTATAAAAAAAGCGAACCCCAATTCGGGACTTTCACAAGCTTCAATGGTGATATTTTATTGTACATATCTTATAATGAGCGCCATAGTGAATGAACCATTTGAAAGTCATATGTGTAATCCGTTAGCAAGTAGTCATCGAGCCCGTAAAGCTACCATCGCCACTGGGGCGATGTTTACATTTTTCGCTATTGCATATTCAACATTCAGAACCGCTTGCCAAGGAAATGAATTGATATATGAACCTTATCATTTTAATAATGATTCCCCTGTAGAAGATAAGCTCGTAGTTCAACAAAATGAAAAAAACAATCCATATTATTATGAAAAGATGTCCATGAATGAGAAATGGTAATTACATGCATACATATGTAATATTGCATTATTTGACCTTAGGCTCAAATCTCTCACTATTTGTCATTTTAGCTGTGAATCGGCTACTTCTACGCATGATAATAATGAAAACTTCAAAGTTGCATATAATTACGAATTTTTTCATTTCGTATTTGCTATTGCTACAATGTATGTTTCAATGCTATTAACATACTGGTAAGTATTTTTACAAAATACAATTGTACATTATTTATATTTCTACTTTTTAACATATTTTGCCTTTTTGAAAATAAAAAGGAATACAATTTCCATGACAGGAAAAGAAAAATTGGTAACAGTAGGTCATAGTCATACACTCGTATGGGTTAAAGTGATATCAAGTTGGTTATGTTTCTTGATTTATTTTTGGACTCTTTTCGCTCCTATTCTTATGCCACATAGATTTTCGGTAAATTCTTGACAAATTATTTGTGCTTTATTCTTTTTTAGTATTAACAATTTATTAATATCATTTTAATAATATTTGAATAGAAACGTGATATTATATCTGAAAAGAATGATTTGGCGAATAAATTATAATTACATAAATATATATTTGATATTTTATAACTTGAACAATACATATTGGTTCTTATAAATTTTAATATATTAATGGGTATCTATTTATAATACACAGATTAGATTAATATTATGTATATATATATTGTATAATTTTATGTAAATATATAGAGTTTATAAAGCATTATAACTAGTTTTAGTAGAAATTTTTTTTAATTATTCAATATTAATATAATTAAATTTATAAAAATAATAAAAAATAAGAACTCATTGCATATTTTGTATTCATTTATTATAAAACGCGCCTGTTTTTATATATTTTCTAAGTTTTGTATATACAATTTTTAGCACAAATTTTATATTGAGTTAGTATTTAGAATTAAGGTTTAGAAAGGGTTTTAGGGGACGTAGAGCGTTTTACTTAGAGCATCGCATATTAATTTTATTCTTAGTCTGATACGCAGTGGCTTTTCCAGATTTTTTTGTATAAGCATTTGTATTACTAGTTTTTTTTAGAGATGGAGAAGAATCATTAGAGCCAGATGCTACAGTAGTAGCATTACTGGATTTCTTTTTAGGGGCAAAAGAATTATTAGGTTCTTTTGAGAGAGAATTACTAAGCAATTTCACAGGGAAATTTTTAGGTATTGGGGAATTTCTAGGCATTGGAAAATTTCTAGGCATTGGGAAATTTTTAAATAATAGAGAATTACCAGGTAATAGAGAATTACTAGGTGAAAAAGAATTATCAAACAAAGAAGAATTACTGGACAAAAGAGAATTACTAGCAAAGAATTATCAGAAGACATTACCAGAATATTAATATTAGGTGCACTACCAAAGATTGCCAGGATATTAATATCAGGTGCACTACTGATATTAATATTACATGCACTACTAGACCTCACATTGTATGAGTATTAAATACACTATTTAGGGTTCTTGGTGGTAGTGAAGTACTACTATCGACATTGGTGCTTTCTAGCAATATCTTTTTATTTTGTTTGTACTTTTGGTTGCAGAAGTAATTTCACATATTATCAAAATTTCTCTTAACTAAAAAAATATTTAATATTGATATCAATTTAAGAAATTTTGAACTAATATTTAATGCTACAATAGTTACTCTAGAAGAACATTATTTTTTATTTATCACTTTAATGATATAGTTGTGTCTGTTTATTTCTTTTTTCTGAATATTATAAATTCCTAGTTGATATTCTTTGTTTGCTATATTTTTATCAGTTTTCAAAAATTTGTCACTATCATAGGCTCTATCCTTTATTATTTTTTTAATATCTCTTAATACTTAATTTCTTGAAATGTCAACAGGAAGAAGATTATTTAAATATTCATTATTAGTTTTTTGAAGTTGGTTAAACTCTTTTTTTTATTGTTTAACTTTCTATAAATCATATAATTAAAAAATATATAAGGCAGTATCAATATTTATATAAATTAATATATTAATTCTAAAAAAAAAAACAGCTTACAGATTCTATTCTTCCATTCTCGCATATTCTTACATGATCTTGACTATCAGACTCTGGGTTTTGTTGCTTAAAATTAGGGTTGAGGCCCAAACCCTTTTTTTAGTTAGGGCATTTCTATCTAGTTTGGGTTTGGAAATTGGTATTTTTACCTAGTTTGGGCTTATAACCAAAACCCAAACATAGAGTCAAACTTAAAAACCATTAATTTATTAAATAAATAATCATGCATATAATAATATAAACTTAAAACTTTAAATTATTTAACAAATTTGACTTTTAATCAGATATATTCAAGTTCAAATATTGATAATCTAAAGATTGAATTCAATTTAAACTAAGCCAGTAACATGTAAAAATCTTGTTTGAATAAGTTATATTTATTGTTAAAACTTATAACAGAAGAATTTGATCATAACTTGTACAATAAAAAGAGTATGCATGATTAACTTTCTAGTTATATTATCTATCTTTATATCATTGCAAGTAATAAATTTTTAAATTTAAGCAATAAAAGATAAATTCAGAAATACAGGTTTTTGCCTTGCTGTACTTGTTTTAAATTTTTTTTACAAAGTTTATTTAACATTCTGATAAAACTAGTTTCAACTAAAATTATTTAACTGCTACATTTGGTAAACAATTGTTTTACTTATCTTGATTTTGCAGCATTTTAACCAATTTGAATAAGTATAGAAATTATCCTTCAAAACTTTAAATTGTGTAACTTATCATTTAAAATCGGTATCGTCAATTATTGTTAATAAAAATCTAAATCATGATCAAATAAAATTTTATTCATTGCTGTATAAAAAAAGTAGAAAAAAATATTTCAGGTTTGCTAATTCAGGCTACATGCAACAAATACTAACTGTATATAAGAATTCCAAGCAGATATAAAGTCTTGTTATAATTATTAATTTATATTATACAATAATTTGATCTATATAACTACAAGAAAAAAAAAAAACTACAGTAAAACCAATATTAGAACTTATAGTCTAAAACATTAAAAAATAAATTTATTTGTTTATTATGCATGTATTTTTTAAAAGCAATAAAATTTTTAATATTAATTAAATATACTATAATAACAATAATTAATTATATTTTTAAATTGGCTTCTTACTCTTACATGAATAACTTTAGTAGTCATTTTGATCCATTAACCAATTGTTGCAATTACTTTAATATTATCGATTAATAATTTTTTCAAAAAAAATATATATATTTGTGTAAAACTTGTATAAATACTGCCTGCATTTCTGATATTATTTTGTGCTAATGGATTTATTTCTTGTACCTCAAACCTTGTTATAATTATTAATTCACATTATATAATAATCTAATCCATATAGCTACAAAGAAAAAAACAACTAAAATCAATATTAGAACTTATAGTCTAGAACATTAAAAGATAAATTTATTTATTATACATGTATTTTTTAAAAGCAATAAAATTTTTAATGTTAATTAAATATACAATAATCAATTATATATATCTTTAAATTGGCTTTTTATCTTTACATGAATAACTTTAGTAATTATATTTAGTCAATTAAATTATTTTGATTTATTGACCAATTGTCACAATTACCTTAATATTATTGATTAAAATTTTTTTTTAAAAAAAAATATATATTCATGTAAAACCTATATGAATATTATCTGTATCTCTGATATAATTTCATGCTAATGAATTTATTTTTTGTACTGCAAACCTTGTCATAATTATTAATTCATATAGCTACAAAAAAAAAACTAAAATTAATATTAGAACTTATAGTTTAGAATATTAGAAGACAAACATTTGTTCATTATACAAAATAAACAATATATTTTTTAAAAGCAATAGAATTTTTAATGTTAATTAAATATACGGTAATAATAATAATTAATTATATGGGGGGAGTCAATAGAAAAGGGACAAATCGTTTTTGGTGAAATTTTTTTAATTTTTAAATTAAAATATCTCAGCAACTAATTAATAAAATTTGCTAAAAATTTTTTTATTTTAATCTTGAAATTATATAGAAATAAAATAAAAAAAAATTTATTAAATTTGATAAGATAATTGCCAAGATATTTAAGCCTAAAGTCAAGAAAACTTTTACTTAGAAAAAATTTGTCCCTTTTCTATTGACTCACCCATATATATTCTTAAATTGGCTTCTTACTTTTATATAAATGACCTTAGTAGTTATATTTAGTCAATTAAATCATTTTGATTCATTGACTGATTGCCGCAATTATCTTAATATTATTAATTAAAAATTTTTTCAAAAAAAAAAACATATTTGTGTAAACTTGTATAAATACTGTAAAACAGTATTAGTATTCCTGATAATAATTTCGTGCTAATGTTTTATATCTGTATGTATATCTTGTATATCTTTGAGCCTTAATTATTTAGCATAAAAGATCTTTTGACTTGTATATATAATATTAGCATTCTCATTTTATATCGATATAATTTGCAATTAAAATTGACTAAAATTTAAAAAGCAGTTATTATAAATTTCTAATTACCAAAAACTACTAATAATCTTGTGAAATGTAAAGCAAATAGAAGCAAAGGAGATAGACCAAGAATGCCGATTTGGGATAACAATAATGAAGGTGATGATGATAGGCATAGATATTTTGAAGCAAGTAGTCATTATTGTAACAAGAGGAAATAGCAATGTGGGAAACTTTCTGTTATAGAAGCATATTTAGCACTTCACTATAAAGAGCTAGTACTAGACAGTATTAGAAGAAAATAGTTGATTAAAGGTAAAGTGTATGTAAATCATTTATCATATGATATACATTGTCAATCTTTTTATATAACAGTTTACATAGTAAACACAACTCTGATTGGGTAATTACCAATTTTAGTAATAATTTTACTATTTGTTTTTTGTGTAACCCTGACAAATTTAAAGACCACCCAGCAAATTTAACTATATAAGGAAGTATATTTTTTTAAAATAATACGATCTATGAAAATTTTACTACTATAAATAGAAGGTTTAATCTATATATTACTCAATTTTAGTAAAAATTGACAGTAATTTCGAAAACTTTTATTAGTGGCATATTGTAATTTTATATATAAAATCTCATTGTACCACAAAAGTCATATGATAAATGATTGACGTACACTCTACCTTTAAAGTTGCAAAGAGAGATGAAAAAGTGAATGATAATAGGGATAATGAATTTTCAAATAAGAAAAAAACCAAAACAACCAGTCAATCAATTATCTTATACTACTAGTTTATTAACAAATTAATTACTCAACAATCTACTAATATTATGAAAGCATTGTTTAAAGCTTTTGTATACTGTAGAATTCTTTTCGCAATTATTAATAATCTATATTTTTGAGATTTTTCAGAACTTTTACAGCCTAGTTATATACTATTAT